TACCCTATACAATGTTTTAATCAGCAGAATCATTGCCTCTTAAAATTCTTCATTATTTATATGGACAGGACATGGAATTGTTATCAGAAATTGTAAAAGTTCACCGTTCTAAATCTATTTTTATTTTGAGTTTCTAAAATTTTAGTTTTGGTACCTATAAAAAACAAAATTAAAATGTATATTTGCGGATTTGTGGAAGTTTCCATCTCATGATTTCCACAAATATCATAAATAAAAAAGAAATAACTAACTTTAAGATCAGACTTTCAGAACATCGTAACCAACTCCGCCGGGATCGACGGCAACAGCACCCTTTACCTTTACAGCTAGAAGCAGAAAGCCCCATAAAAAAGGGTTTGTTTGCCTTTCCCGGCTACCCTCGAGTTATTCGAGGAAATTCTTATTCTGGCCTCTTCGATTCGCACGGGGAGAGATTGATATCGATTCGCGGGAAAGTTCGACTCGCTTTTAGTGCGAGGAGTTCGCTAAAGAGTTGTGGGGAAGTTGCGAAACGTCGGCGTCGGAGACGTTGGTAATTGATAAATTCGTGCGTATGCTGGTGGGCGTGAGGACAAAGGATCCCGGCGATCGTTAGTTAACATTAGCGACAAAAACGCCGAGGAAAATGTTAATCAATTGTAATGAGATTTGTGTTTGTTCCGCGTCGAAAATGGGGAGAAGTAAACAAGCGATAAGAGGAAGTAAACGAGGGCTACAAGGGTAACCGAATGAATTATTTTGTGTAAATGACTAATTTGAAAAGAGTGAAAATTAATAAGGTTCCTTGTGAAAGATATCTCCACGTAATATTTCCACGAATACTTATTTATTGCTCCAATAATTCCCATAATTTAAATTTTCAAAGTTGTAGATACTCAAATTATAATCTCTTTATTTGCGTTCATCAATTTTTATTACTGACGCTCGCTGCGGTTGGTTTAAAGAACTTCTACCAGGAAGTAGTCATTTTAATAAGCCAAAAAGCTGTTTAAATGTAAATAGAAAATGAACTTACCGTTGGAATGTAAAAGCAACACTTTAAGCGCCCTTATTTCAGCGGTAAGTCTTTCGATTTCCTGTCTGCTCTCCTCTTCACGCTGCTGCAATAATTGCTGCAACGAACTATCCTGCTGCGTTTGAATGCCGAGTTCTTGTTGCCCACCGCCGATTATAGTGGAGCCTGAAATAAAAACATCCATAATTCTAAATATTCGTTTATTAAGAATGACGTAATTGCATAAATAAAACTAAGTGATAGGTTTATGTAACAACTTTAGTTCAAATTTTGTGGGTTATACTATAAACTCGTACGGTTAATTTAATTTAATTCGAAACAACGCACTAATTTTCTTGCCAGTTTTGCGACCGCAGCCATAAGTAATCCCTTAAAAGGGCTGTTAACTATCCTAAAACGCATAAACCCACATGCCCGGCCTCTAAGTGGAAGCCTACACTTTATCTTTACACTGCAAAGGGCCAGAACTATTGCTAAATCGGAAGGGTTTATATTTCAGGGAAACGCCAAAAACATTTCAGAATCTATGTAGTTATTTAGGAAAAAATGTGCCAATAGAATGTAGTAATGTCTTAATTAAGTTAGTAACTACACTGTAATTTAAAAATAAGGTAATTAAATATGCATATTTTAAAACGCATGTTTTCGATAAGATTGTAAGATCAGTAATTTATTTAAAATGTTTTTAACGCGTGATTAAAAAATATCCTGTTAACTATTTTTATAAATGTTAATAGAACACCTATAAAATCTACATAGATAATGAACTAATTTAATTGCATTTTCTACTTTGTGTATGAATAAATACATAATTTATCACTTTTTAATCACTCAAGGACCAAAAAAATAAAACACTCGGTTATTAACTTAATATGTATCAGCCGTAATTAGGTACTATAAATATCATAAATTAATCAACGCTCGCTTGAGAGGCTTGCATTTTTAGATATCTATAGAATAACGTGAGAACGTTAAAATTATTTTAATCTTCAAAAAAATGAATTTAACAAGGATTTGGAGATAATCCTAAACCAAAGGTTGTGGATAAAGGTACAAAATTCATTATTTTGAACTTTGGAAACATATACGAGTGTTTTTGTGAACCTTGGAAGACGATTAATCCTACTAAAACTGACTAGTATTATACTGATTAATAAATAAATAACTTGATATACATATGTACATATGTATGTAATACATCTATTTCACCTGCAACCCCATTTAAAAACCTCCACAGCTTGGACGCCATTACCCTGATAAAATCTCACATCGTTTTAAAGGACAATTCCCTTGTTTATTGCCTCTTTGTCACGACATATGTCAACTGTTATCAGGACCTGCTTGGTCCTTCGCTATACTACATCGGGGTTTATCTGCAGGTTCGTAACTCACGTGCCCTTATCGTCGATTTATTCAGGGAGTTTAATTTCTTTATTTTAAATACAATCGCAGGAAGACATCCGTTAAGTGCATTCTGAGACCGGAATTTTCCGAGAATATGCTCGCACAGAAACGCTTGGTGGGTGATAAATTGTAAGAAAGTTACACCGTTAAGTCGAGATAAGTAATTTAAAAATGTACACATTTAAAAAAATGTTTTAGGTATGTACAATTGTACAAAATACAATCCCCGTGAAAAAAGTGTTCTTAAGAATTAATAATATGGACTTTGGAACATTATTGCGAACCATACCTGTACTACATAAAAAGGGCATAATTTTTATATAAATTATAATTTTTTGTAGGTGAAATATTATTGCAATTTGTTATTTCGAATGCCAAATAAGATATATGCAACCAGGATGACAGCCGTTGAACTTTCTACACTGGAACTGGAAAAGATAAGCCTATTTAGGAGACTCACAAGCATCTGCGATGGTGGTGTAATGGTCAGCATAGTTGCCTTCCAAGCAGTTGATCCGGGTTCGATTCCCGGCCATCGCAGCTTTCTTTTTACATTTTTTTTTCAAGTTAAATAATTTTTGCTGTTATACATAAAGATTTAATTGTTACACAAAACGGATATTGTTTTAATTTTATGCATGAGGGACTATTGAAACCTTATTATAAATTTAACCCAATGTTTTAACATGAGATATTTTAACAAATATAAACTGTACCTATAGAATATTGAAAGAGCGCAATCAATAAATAATTAATTGACAAATCATCTGGAATATTTCACTTGGCTCTTTTAGGAACGATAACGATTTTTGAAATATTGACTATGATATACTTAAGTAGTTTTCAATTAAGCCTATTATTTGTCACAAAAGTGTAGGTAGATAATTCTTGTTACTAAAGGTTAAAATTCGATTAGGTAAACATGTACATAAGCACACCTGGATACGACAATGTATCACAGAAAATGAAAGATAAGGTAATTTTTCAGGGTATCGTATTATTTAGAATTTAGATTATCTATTAGGTATGGTTCATTGAACATGTTATTATACAGGGTGTCATTTATGTGTGTTATTTACCAGGGCCGCGCTAAGATTACAGCTTAATGCCTAAATTTTCAACAGCTGGTATGATAAAGGCTTAAAAAACATAAATCTGGAAAGCTTGAACCTTTTAAACTAAAAAAGTTATACCCCTCAATTGTCGATCAAATGAACCGTTTATAAATAAATAATATCTAATAAACGGTTTAAAATGTTTTATTTTTACCCCAAATGGTAGGTATCACCAGTAATTTACACAATTCTCATGTATGGGCTGATAAAATTCGGCATGCCACCATTGTTTTGAATCATCAACATCAGTTCCAATCAGTTAATATTTGGGCAGGAATCATACAGAGTGTTGAAAATTTAGACATTAAGGTGTAAACCTTAACCCGGCCCTGGCAAACTAAAAAAGCCAAATATGTTTCAAGTACACTATTTTATGAGGACCTTACTAGTGTCCATCATATTAGATCTTTATTAAATTATATCAAGTACTTTAAGGAGATCCGTAGGGAGGGCCTGTAGGGAAAAACTTTATAGGAACTTATCATCTTATTTTTTTATGTTCTATGTGGATCCGAGAGGTTTCTCACATTTTCCGGGACACCCTGTAGAAGAAAAAAGAACACAACAAAAGCTCTTTTAATTAGAGTATATTAACAATTAGGGCAATGCGTATTTACGTATAAATATAACAAATAATATTCAAAAAACTAATTTTGTTGTTGAACTAATCTATTATCTCTAACTTCGCGTTTTTTAGTGTACGATATGCAGGAAGAGCGTGGGCTCGAAATAGCATAGCACAATAATTTAGCCGGTTAGTCTTGAAAATGTGACCTAAGGGAGAAATCAGCTAAAATATTTTCCGATCCTGGAGAAAAAATAGTTTTAACTCAAAATGGCAGACATCGTATTATTCAGATGATCTCAGAGTAAATAATTTTGTATAAGATAAACCAATCTTTTGAAGTGTTATATGTAGTTACTTAAAGTAAATAATAATACTTTCAAAAACATGTTTTTGTCAAAACCCATTGTTAATCAAATTAGATTTGATTGGAAGAAAAACGAATTGTAGTAACCATATAAATTATTATGTTAATAAAATCAATTCAATATAATTTTATTATTATTTCAATAAATGCACCTGTGAGAAATAAGCATTAAAATATATTTTTATTGTATCTATTCATAAAATAGAAATTGAAATGCTGCTTTTCCATTAGAATAATTCGATGCTTTTTTAGAGAGATTTGCCAGCATTTTATAACATAAATTTTCTTAAAGTAGTTTTTTTATCGTTTTTACCCAATTTACCACCAGTTGTTTCATTCAAAATGCATGGGTATACCCAAATTTACTTCACATTTAATATCTTTTATCAGTAATGAAATTTATAATATAATAGGTGTTAATGGTTTACATTAAAGAAGCATCTTTTAATATTTTAAGTATCTACTTACAGATAAAAACCAATTTTTTTCTATAAAAACACAATTTTTTAACCCAATTTTAGTTAGTTCTGATCAGCTAAATAGATCGAAATGGCTTTCACTAAATCAGCTTTGTTATTCATCTGCACCGTATTTTTGGCCTCTCAGGTAATTATTTATCGTTAAGCACACAATTTTTTTTTGAAGATGACTATTTTAATATTAACTTGTTCGCATGTTAGGTCCAATCTTCGTACATTAGTTACAATGTCAATGATGATGATCTCTCAACGATAGTACAAAAAATTGTAGCACTCGCAGAAAAAGTTGTTGATAAAGTCCTCAGTGTTGTAGCTTCTTTAATCTCTGGTGCCAACACCGATTTCAGCGGTACTCAATCAAAAGTTCTCGATGTTATTGGGGAAGTCTTAAAAAAAGGAATTGATGCATTCAACAATGTTCTCGGGGATTTGTCGAAAGGTAAAGATACTAGCATTAGTTGAAACCATTTCTTGCCATTTATGTTCATATCTACATTTTATTGTACCTCAATTTATAATATTGATATTTATGAATACGTATTAACGAGTTAATTATTTTAAAAGACAGCGGCGCTGACGGACAGAAACTGATTAAATGCTTGGTCAGTGAGGAATCTGACAGTGTAGCCGTTGTTCAGAATTTAGTTAAATCGATCACCAACTGCGCTCAGAAGGACTTGGTAGCTTTGCTTAACAAAGTAGACCCATTAGCCAAGGATCTTACCTCCATCGGGGCCAAGGCCAAAACTGAGCTAGCCAGATTAGACAAATGCAAGGGAAGCGACACGCAAGCCCTTCTTTGCATAATTGATGTAAGTGAACATCGCGTGTAATTTACAAGTTTTTTTGTTTATCGAAAAACCAAAATTCGTTTTAGGCTGTGACTAAAACATTCGATGCCATCAAAGACGACCTTCCGACGATCCAGAAAGATATCGAGCCCATCAAGGACGACTTACCCGCATTCAAAGACGCTGTCGTCTCCTGCTGGACCAATTCTGTAAAAAAAGAAGTTTTGTCCGATGCTGCTAAAGTTATTGACAAAGTCGCCGCTTGTGCCAAAGCCTAATTTTCATCAAATATAATATTTTTTTAAACAGTTTTGCATCACTCAACATATTTTAATTTTTCCTTATACCTTTACCTTCAATTTAATGTCCTTTTCGTCTACAGAGTTTTTGGTAAACAGTAAAGCCTACAATTCTGCTTAATTTTGAGTTGAAATTTCGAATTTAATTGTAAAGAAGATTTCAGTACGGGGATTTTTACTCTTTACACAATAACAATGCAATCTTGTTATTAAATAAGAAAAATCAAATAAACAGCAAATATTAGAATTGGTATAGGCAAATAATAAAACTATAAAATCTAAGAAAAAATTTTGTTAATGCTAGGCTTTAATATTTTTATTATTTGATAATTGCTGGTGAATTACTAAAAACTGAATTAGCGGTGTAAATGTACATTCTTAGAAACGCCGATGTTAATCCCTTTACAATTATTGTTGGTAGACAAACAAATAAATGGGAAATACTTCGGTATATTTAGGTATAAAAAGGTATAAAGCGCAAAAATTTTTGAATCAAATTAATAAGTGCATAATTTAATCATGAATGTTATACTTCTAGTGTGCTTTTTTTGTGCACATCAAGTAAGTTAATTATTTAAATTAATAAGAAGTTTCTATATAACGCACTATAACTTTTATATCTGTATATCTTTTATACTATTGCTTTTGCTACAATCTGTCTCCTTTATAAATTTTTATTTCATAATTTTCTACCCAAGTTTTAGTTTTTAATTCAAACGTGTACATTTGCAGGTGTTGGCCGCTAATATAACAGACAAAGACTTAAATGCCTACTTACAGAATTTAAAACAGAAATTAGTAGATGGTCAAAACGAAAAAGCGGTTCAGGAAATTCTCGAATTTGGACTCAAGCAAGCTCATAATGGTAAAAAAATATGTTACTAAAAATGTTGATCATATTTTCATAGTAGAAAATTATTTTTAAATCACTTATTTTTTATTAAATATTGTCAAAATTAATGTACTATTTAATGAAAAAAATAATTGGATTAAGAAATAAATTAACTCTTATAATATTAAATTTATTCAGCGAATAATTATCTAAAGCTGGTGGTATACCTACACACACTCAAAAATGTTTTGCATATTATATAGTTGAAATGCCACAGCCCATTTATTATTTGAAATATCTTTTGTTAAATTGTTTTTCTCATATTATGATTCATCCATTGAAACACCTGTCTTCAAATTTTCTCTGTACATCCAAAATCTTTCGAACTGCCGCGAAAAATCATTTTTTTGATTTCAACTTTGACACTCTGTATCTTTTTTATTTTTAATATTTTACTAAAACAAGTTGGGTCATATCGTAATATCTTGAGGTTTAGCATTTTCCCCCTTCACTTTTGGACCATTATTTACGAACCACCCTGTATATACACTCTCAAAATGTTTTGCATAAAAGAATTAACATTTAATACAACGCATAATTTGTAAAATTACTCATCAAAATTAGTTTCCAAAAGGGCACAAGCATTATTTAAAATTAAGAATAAAAACAATTCAACAAAAGACATTTTAAACAATAAATAGGCAGTGGAATTTCAACTACATAATATGCAAAACATTTTTGAGTAGTATATCGTACTATCATTATACTCGAAACACACCTGTATTAACTTTTGATTAAATGATGACAATGCATAATAGATAACATCTGTAGACATTAATTTTAACTTTAACTAGCATGATTTTTTTCTTAAAACACGCTACAGGAACTTTAGCTCCATCCAAACAAGAAATAATCCAAAGTTGTATCGATTCGGAAAAATTAGTCCAACGATTTTCAAACGCCACAAATGATAAAATTAAAAAATGCGCCACGGTCGTATTGGCTCAATATACAAACGTCGTTACCAACAGTTACAACGACGTGCAAGTTTTCATGATGTTTCCCTCCGTGATTTGGAGGAACATACAGAAATGCGGATTGGATGCCACCTGCAAATCGTTGATAGTGGATGACGTTATCAAAGAAACGTACAACGTAAGTTAATTCGAAATGGGACGAGTGGTAATTACGATAAAAACGCGTTAGTAATTTTCCTAAAACCAGAAAAAATAACGACATAAAACAATAATTAATGAATCATTTATGAGGAGTTTTTAACTGCAAACGTTATTTTAGATTCCACCGAGAGTATTCAATTTAGCTGCAAAAATTCAAAGCCTAGTCGTGAGAACCATCACCGCTGTGGACAATTGTGCAATAGACGCTTTGAAGGATTTATCTAACACCGGTACTAAATTGGTCGCTGGGGTTTATGAATGCATCATCGATAGAACAATCCAAAATCATTGCACGGTTACAAACTGAATTTCATTAGTGGTAGAAATGCATATTTGTACAAAACAATTAAATATGCATTTACAATAAATATTTTCTTATTTTACTTCAATTTAATGTATTCGCACGCTTTACTCGATGGGCCGCAAGGCACTTGAATAAATGAAATTAAACTTATAATAAAACCCTTATCTACGTCACATACTATTCAGCTACACTTTGATACTATTGCGATATAATTTTAGTGAAAAAAAATTGAATGGATTATTTTGTAGTGTTGATAATAAAATAATACTTGATAATTATAATTAGATAACTATTTTAGTATATAAAAGGCCAGTTCGATGCATAGTCTGTTAATCAAGTTTTGGCTGTACTAAAACGAAATGGCTGCCTTCAAACTAACTTTCTTCCTGTGCGCTGCTTTCCTCATCTTCCAGGTAAGCTCAAACTATTATACTAAACAATAAAACAAATATCTAATTTTCATCGATTAGGCTAACGCCCTGCCGCAAGCCCAATACGAAGATGTCGAATCCACATCAGTGATAGATTTGATCAAGAAGCTAGTGAAACGAATTGAGGGGACTCTGGATTGGGTTGTAGCTGAAGGTGAAGACGTAATAGCAGCTATCACTCCAGAGAAATGGGACGAAGTGCAGAAGAAGACGGTCGATGTAACCACTAAAGTTCTAAGTGCGGTAATGAAGAGAATCACCGACGATGTCAGCAAATTTGGCGACAGTAAGAAAACTATAATTTTATTATCAGTTATGAAATTCCTATTTGTTAGATTTAACAGCATTCTTGTTGTTACTAAATACTTTCATTCTTTCGGAATACTCATGATAGAAATTTTGATGTTTTTTACAGACACTCCTGAAGGTAAAAAACTAGCGGGCTGCATCGTCAGTTCCGGCAGTGCCATGGTCAGTGTTCCTGTTACGTTCTACGACGATGCGAGCAAGTGCCTGAAAACCGATTTATTGGCCTTGGTGAAAGCCTTAGGACCCGTTATCAAGGATCTTGCATCCGTTCAAGTCGATGCCAAGAAGGCCGCCGACGGAATCGACAAATGCAGTGGCGACAGCGTGCAAGGATTGCTCTGTGTTGTCGGGGTAAGTTAAATTTTGTGATATAAATATGGGTATTCATTAGCTTTTTTTGTTTAGGTTGCTGGCGATGTCCTTAAAGTCGTAGGAGAAATCCCGGCTAAAGTTCAAACCGACATTGCGCCTCTTGAAGCCGCGGCCAAGGCTGCCCTCAATTCTTTGAGTTCCTGTGTGAAATCTGAAATACCAGTTTACTTCAAGAACGCCGGAACCGTTCTGGATTCGGTCGCAGCTTGCGTAACTAAATAGACTTCGATGAGGTTCTTCCATTTAATTAAGCAATAAAATTTAATAAGAAAACTGTTTTTTTTTTATTTTACACTCTTTTACGCTCTTTTACATTTTTATATTGGTTCTAACAAATTTCCTGGAAGATAGACATTTTTCTAGAATGTAGCAACTTCATCTTACCATCACGTATACAGCAAAAAATATAATAAAAATTATTTGTTGATAGGTGATTGAATTATGTACTTAGTGATTGATTGCATGGAGTGATATTTCATCACAAAAGTAAAGTTCAAGTGCTGATAAAACAATAAAATCTTAATAATACAATTTTAGTAACAATTTTCATAAAAGTAATTTTTTCGTTTACATAAGATACAATTACCAAGATGTCATTTAATAAATCGGCTTTGTTAATCATTTGCACTGCATTTTTAACTGCGCAGGTACGTAAATTATTATATTAAATACTTCCTAAATACATGTAATACTGTATGTTTGTTATACCGTAAACATGAAGATTATTAGAAATTATTAGTACTTCTATCAATTTGTTATGCACAAATCCTTGATGAATAATCTATACATATGAGATGGGCAATTCTTGGACGTTTTTAGGCCACATTGTCTGTTGGCAAGAGCAATTACGGCACCGATCTCGTAGATATAATTCAAAAAATTGTACAAGTTGCGGAAAAAGTCGTAGACAACTTTATCGAAGTCCTCAATACTTTAATTATAGAAGTTAAAAAGAACTTTAGCAATGCCCAAACAGAAGTTCTAAAACTTGTAGACAAGGTTGCAACAAGGGAAATGGATAAGTTCAATAAAATCATCATAGATGTATCCAAACGTAAGCAATTTTATCAATTTCTACTGCCACAACTCACTATCTTCTTAACGTAATAATTCAATTATGCCCGAAGAAAGCGACGTAGATGGACAAGATCTAATCAAATGCATCGCCAGCGAGGAACACGAGAGCATCATCGTTGCCAAAAACTTAGTCGAATCCATCACCACGTGCGCTCGCAACGACTTGGTAGCGTTCCTTATCAGACTGCATCCCTTAATAACAGATTTATCCATCGTGCAGAATCTCGCCAAAACTGAGCTAGCTAATTTAAGTAACTGTGAAGGAAGCGACACCAAAGCCGTCCTCTGCGTCCTTAATGTAAGCTGATAATCTCGTTTAATGGTGCAGTTATTAAAAAAGTTGTTTCAGGTCGCTACAAATGTCATCGATATCATCAGCCAACAGGTCCCTAAAATCAGCCAAGATGTCCAGCCTGTTTTGGATAATTGGCCCATTCTCAAAAGTGCTGTTGTTTCCTGCTGGAAAAATACCACCAAACCAGGTGTTATTTCTGATGCTGCTAACGTAATTAATAAAATTGCTGCTTGTGATAAACAAAATTAAAGAAATTGAACATAATAAATATTTTCTTTCATGACAATTTTTCACAGTAAGCTTTCAGAAGAGGGATACCTACGTTAAATTAAGTAATTAGTTGTTAATTACAACCACTGGTGTTAATTTTTCTCTGGTAAGTAACAAATCCGGGGCGCTGGAAAATAACGTTAAATCGCTCCCTCAAAATCGACATTGCGATAACAATACAATGTATTGTTGGAAAACAAGAAGACAAGAAGGAAACCATTATCGATATTACGTCGCCGGCATCCGGCTTGTAGCGTGTTGTCGATCATGCACGGAGCACGGGCGCAATCTTTCTTTTTTGTTATCAAACGAGTCTATCGGTGTCGAAGGGAGCGCGTCTAACAAGGTTTTTCAAGACGGCGATGGGGAAAAAACGCGCGGCCGGAAAATTTATGACTGGAAGGGAATCGGCTAATGGGAAAATTCGGTTTGATTTCGAGTTCTCTACAGGGAGCGACTAATGAGCGGGCGGAATTAGAAAAAGATGTCGGGAACTTAGAAATGTCGGCAGGAATTTTTAATTAAAATTTCGTCGTTTGGTGACAATGGACAATGTGTTTGCGAATATATTCACAATTATTTAGTTCCATTTTACAGAGAAATTTCAGAGAATATATCATATGAAATCATCAGGAAAAATACTCTTTCTCGGCCAAGCGTATAATAGCCACGTCGGTAAGCAGAATCAATAAACGTTTGTTAAAATAACATTTCAAACGAAACTATATAATTAATTTCAAAATAACATAACTAAGTTTGCGTAACGAGTTTCAAATTACGATATCCTACCGTTGGGCTACTCATTACGTGGTTGGTACGTTTGATGTCCGTTTTACATAGAATGACTCTAGGTAAATACTGGCTGGCGGTTATGCTGTTAATGTTTAATCACATATTTACATACACCTAATAATAGTAAATATAAACTTGATAATAATTAGCTGGGAGAGGTTTGGAATTTTGGTGATTCAAGTATGCAACTGTTAAACAGCAAGTATGTACCTAATAAAGCTTGCTTTAAAAATATGTGAAATAAAACTAAGCCACCCTGTTTGGAGTGTAATGTAAAGCTAGCAGAAAAGGTTTTGGGATGGAATTCGGCCGGATTATATGCGTGGGAATGTCGGTCCTTATGAATACAGATTTGTTTCCTTTAGATGGTAATTTCAGATTAAAGAATTCATTCAAGTTGTAAAACCCATATTTTTTAACGTACCTCAGGGATCGATAAATTCTGAACAAAAGTCTCTTTTTGCCTATCAAATTATATACAGTATATTTTAGTTATAAAAGCTGTCTAAAAGCACCCACACCAAAATTCATAATTAATTTTAAAAGCAGGTAACAGGCGACGCACTCAATTAAATTCACCATCAATTCCACCCATCTGCGTTTCTCCATTAAATCATTACCATTGCCATTTACGGTCCTTTTGTTATCGCTTTTCGACGATGCAATCCGCTTAAAATATCGTCCGCGTCTGCGAATTTTTGTCGCATCACCGAAAAGTGCAGACAAAGGGAGCGAGTTCCATTAACTAGAATCCTGAATGTGTTGTCCTGTAAATGGCCATTTCAATTGACAAGGTAACTGTAATTATAGGGACAATGAAAACATTGTTAGTCGGATTTCATAGTTTCGACTATAATAGCGTCGGATTCGAGTACGTGCACGTTACGTGCATTGATAGGATGAAACAGAGATTTCTATGATTTCAAAATGATACTACATCTATAGTACTAATAAAAAATACATCACTGTTGTAATCGAAATCATGAGGGATGTCAGATATCATTAATTTAGAAATTTAATGATAGGTTTACTTCCAAGAGGCCTCAATTACGAATCATTGAGTGATTTAATTAAAAAGAGTATTTGCTTGTACTTCAAGTAAATGCTTTCGTAGTTTTCGTAGTTTTCACTTTAAAAATTATAGCATTTACTGCACATAATTCTTAAAGTTAAACTAAAGTAAGTACTAGGATCAATTACTTCATACTTTGCTTTATTTACTTCGAAACATAGAAGTTAATTCTACAGAAATTACTAATGTGGTCTAGTATTTCCTCCATTTGGGAGTGTTTGGTGTAGTTTTCAAGAAATTGATCACAGAGTAACTTCTTATCAAGCACTTCACCTAAAGAGGTGTTGAAAATGGCATTTTATGTGAATTATGGTAGGAAAAGTAGGGAAATATGTGAACGTAGAACGTATGAACAAGCAGAATATAGAAAATTATTGGATTTGACGAGAAATGGATGAACAAACTTTTGGGGAAATTATAATCAAAGTATACACTTCCCATCGAAGAATTTACTTTATGTAAAAGATTATTGTCCATAAAATACAAGGAAGTCAAAGTTCGTACTTGAAGTGCAAGTAAATACTCCTTTTAATCATACCACTCATTATAATAAAACATTATGATTTGCTTTATTTACACACTTCGTTATTGAAGTTGATAACCCTTTAATGCTTTGAAGCAAATATAATTAGGCGCTTTCAATACGGAAATAATAATATTTACCTACAACTGGAGGCTAATTTTAATAAGTACAAAAGTGGCTTAAATAAACAAGGCAAATGGTCTAAGTGAGCATCCTACAGAACTAAAACCTCAACATAGAGATACAAAACGGCTTTTCCTCCAATTATCGCTTTTTAGTCGCCCTTTGTGGTCTAGTTATCCAGATATACCGGAGCGAATAAACAATCCCGCCTCGGTCACTGAAATTGGGTAATTCACTCTGGCCGAAAACGGTCGCAAGGCGGAGAGACAAACGGCCGAAAGTCAACAAAACACTTTGTCCTCGACCGCTGGGCCCTTTGCGGAGAAGTTTGCGCAAAAATTAATTATTTCCATTTCCAGAGCGGACAATGTTAGAAAACCGCTTTTTTTATCCGCCTCGAACTCGAACGGGCTCCGAACTTTTGTTTGATTAATAGGATTCCGCCGGAGGATTTACTTCACCAATGGCATTTTTGTTTGAATAATACAATTTTCTTGTATAGTTGAATAACATTTTAGGTTTACGGTAATTGGATTAATCATGTTTCCGAACTTAATACGACATTCGAAATACAATTCCATTATAACTAATTACACCTTCACTGTTTTGATTACCACAAAATTTCAGAACAATATTAATGCAAGCTACTCAAAGTACGAGTAAAAGGAAGACCACATCAATCACTAGTATCTATACAGACTAGACTAGACAAATCAATGCCTAGTAATGTAATCAATTTTTATATGGAAACCAGAAGCGATTTGTAGGGCACATTTGTATTGCGTATGCGTCGTTGATTTGGGCGAATCCCCGGAGAAATCCTACTGACCGCGCCACACCAGTCCTAAATTGTTTCCTAACCCCCCCGACTAATTAACTCAACGCCGATGGTTACACGTACTTTACCGTATTTAGCCTCCCGCATTGCTTTCTCCAGATCGGTTCCCGAATCGGACAATGCGGCTATCTGCCTCCTACAAAGCCGGCTTGATTAATGGATTAATTCGAAACAATAACGGGATAATACCTGGATAGGTGGGCGAAGCCGAATGATTGGTGGCCGCATTATCGTTAAGAAAAAGTCGGTTAAAGGGGGAGAACGGCGGGAAATTGTGATAAATGGCGGCGATGAACTGACCCAACCGGCAGCGGTTATTGTTTTTTCCCATTTAATCGCTTAGCCTAATGGAAATTTATATTTCTCTTAATTGCGGATATTCGATGATGTATCGTAACTGCTGTTGTTTAATGAACGAACGAATATGTATTGTTGCAAAGTTAAAAATATGAAAAAATGTTTCATACATAGGAAATTGTTTACGTTAAATATACTTTTTAATCGATTGATTGGAGTTAGAACTGTGCATTGAATCTGGACCATTCTGTTTAAGTTTGTTGGCCACTTGCTAGTGGGGCATCCAGCCAGCATACAATATTACTAATAACTTTATCCAACACCTATATGTATATAATTCCTGGTGTTCCCCTCTATCCATATATCTTTTGGGCGAGTTGGCGCGCCTCGTCCTTTCGCCATTTTAATTAAAATTTTGATTCTCGAAAATTTGCGAGGACATTTCCATTTAGCGTTTTCGAATGTTTCAATTTATGCTCGCGCTCTCCGGCGCGGCGGCGGTTCCGGCGACGGCGAAAGGAATGATTCACTGCACATGGAGTGTCGGCCAAGTTTTTTTTCCTCGTGTTTTTTATGAAGCGCAGTTTATCTTGTCGAGCCGCTACTGCGGATACCTGATATATATTTTATATGGGCCTAAACGCGCTGTTGACATTCGAACCGACGGATTCCATTTCGGCGGGATTTATACGCGTTTCGCTCGAAATCTTAATCTCGACGGGCATCGCCCAATCAATAGCTATCGTTGCTTTCGACGCCGAATGCAGCGGTATTTCGAAATAAAAATCGTCCTCGACCGGCCTGCGAAATTAAAAAAGTATGCAAATGTTCCGGAATTACGGGCCCCTACTCGCGGAGGAGCTCCGGAGTTTTCGGTTCTCGCGGATATTGCCTTTTATATTGGTGTTTTTAATCTCTTACTGTGCCTTTGCATTTCAAATTTTTCCTCGCCGGCTTATCTATCAATTCGATTTCTCAAAATGCTCGCTCCGGCGACTTCCAGTGCCCGACGCAGAGAAATTGGTTATTTGATAATTAAATTTTCTTCAAATAAAATCGAATGAAGCGATTCATTTCTTGCGTTTAAGCGTACCTACATAATAAATACGATTTATGGTTTGAAGTGCGTGTTGGAATTAGTCTCAACGGGTTTTATACGAATGGCTGTAATCTGAAGCTTATAGTATTGATAAACGACGAACGCCATGCTTTACAGGATTGTTGTCCTTCATGCTTAATTATCGAAACATGTTAGCTGTGTTAATTCCGAATAGTTTACATAACGCAAATTCGCAAACATGGTAGCCGATCGGTTACGGTTACAATGACACAGAATCCATCAGATGAAA